TCTAGGGCCGAAGGGGCCGTACTGTGCTGTACTGTACGATGTTCTATGTTCTAGAATGGCATGATCTGCCTGTACTGCATGCAAAACAGATTTTTTCACTGTACCTAGATATATGTGACAATAATCATTTAAATCAAATCAAAAAGAAAGGCAGATTGACATAGAGCAGCCACTATCGTTGGATGTGTCTCAGCACCTCGGTGCCCAGGTGTAATGGAAACTGTTTTGTTGATATTGGCTGGTTTCAGCACTGCTCCAGCACAGCAGGAAACCACCTGAGATTGCTCACCTGCCTAGGTGGGATTTAGTCACTCATATCACCTACAACCAACCAAATTAACCCTCTTCTGCCTCTGAAGATAATAGGTTCCCAATAATAATGCCACGTGGAATTTTACTAACACCAGAGGTGGCCACACTTGGTGGATCCCAGTCAACCAACAACAACCTGCTGTTATAAAGCTGGGTGGGGGGAGCCCCGACAAACGTGACACAGTCACACATCTATAGGGAGACTATTCAGGGCTGGTCACCTGACAAAGGAGCAGTGCTCTGAAAGCTTGTGATTTCAAATCAACCTGTTGAACTTTAACCTGGAGTTGTGTGACTTCTGAATTTGCCTAAAAGTAGTTAAGGCTGCAAGTTGTACAAGTAAGGGATGCCTTTGATCTTTTGGATAGATTCAAGGTCCAATGTTTGATGAAACTTAAAAAAAGTTAAGACTGCAAGTCAATTTAAAATGCCAGGAGTTTATAAGTTGTTAGGAAAGAAGGGTCTCTATTCCCAAGAAGGGTCACTGGACCCGAAACATAAACTCTCCTTTCTGACACTGACAGACTGAGTTTTCCCAGAAATTGGTGATTTTGTTTATAAGTTGCTGTTAGGTAAAGGCATGAAGGATTGTGGAGATTAGATGAATAGATGGAGGTAAAATAAAGATCAGTCATGTTCTAGTTGAATGGTCGGACAGGGCTTGTGGAACTAAAAAGCCTTTGCCTATTCCCATAATGTCCTAATGAAGTAAAATATAGTCCAAATGACTTCACAGAAGATTAAAATTAGTATCTTGCCAAAGAAACGATTAGGAGAGGTGACCAAAAGCTTGATCAAAGAGTAAGTTTTGAGGAGCATCTTAAAGACAGAGAGAAATAAAGTCGCCAGTGTTTAGGGAGGAAATTCCAGAGCTTCAGGTAAGACAGGTGAGAACATCGGTAAGACAAGGCAAGTGGGGGTGCAATGCAGGGAGAATCGGAGGAAAGCAGAGATTTATAAGTATCGCAGATCAAGGAGAGACTACACAGTCACTTTAGAACCAAAAATTCCTAATATCTAATCCGTACTACTTTTTATTTATATTAATATATTCTTTCATAGAATGTGGGCATTGCTGGTCCATTTATTGCCCTTCCTTAATTATCCTCTGAAGGTGGCAGTGCTTGTGTCTTCTGTTTAGCAACCACTGGCGGCTTGTGGTTGAGGATGCTTGCTACCAGCAAAGCTTTCCATAATGAGTCTGAAGGACTGTCCGTTATCAGTGGTAAAGGATAGACCACTAGAGAGCCTTAACATGAACGTTTGTCATAGAGGATGTAGTTTATTGCATGATCACAAAAATTACAACTAGCATTAGACACAATAACAGTTATGAGGAGCCAGTATGTCACATCTATCTCCATCTGGACCTCGTGCATGCTTCTCTAACCAAAGACTGCGTGACTTCATCAGGTTGAGTAGCAATAATGCTACTTCAACATTAACGCTTTCAGAGCCATTATCTTATACAAATGTGGTGGGCAACCTTTGTGAACCAAGGCAGCCTGTTGGTGTGGGAGCACCCACGGTGATGTTAGGAAGGGAGCTATGGGGTTTTTACCCAGTGGTAGTGATGTAACAGTGACATAACTCCAAGCCAGGATAGTGCGTGGCTTAGAGGGAGTTTGTAAGTTGTAAGTGTTCCCATGCGCCTGATGCCCTTGTCCTTCTTGGTGACAGAGTTGCAGGTTTGGAAAGTGCTGTTGAGAAAGGCTTGGTGAGGTACAGATTCTCTCCTTCATCATTACAGCTAAGTATTGGTTATACAGTGAATATTGTGCAATGTACATGCAGAGTGAGCTTCTGGGGATAGCACTCATCCTGTCTCTAGCCTTTACTCTACAGGGCCATGATCAATCATCATCATGGCAGCATTACAAACTATTAGTTTTGCAAATAAAAACCGAAAGAACTGCAGATGTTGTAAATCAGGAACAGAAACAGAAGTCGTTGGAAAAGCTCAGCAGGTCTGGCAGCATCTGTGAAGAAAAATCAAAGTTAACGTTTCGATTCCAGTGACCCTTCCTCAGAACCCGAAACGTTAACTCTGATTTTTCTTCACTGATGCTGCCAGACCTGCTGAGCTTTTCCAGCAACTTCTGTTTTTGTTTTATGTGTGTGTTTTACTTTTATAAAGCCTTTTCTGAAGAAGGGCCCAGACCCAAAACGTCAACATTCCTATTCCTCTGATGTTGCCTGGTCTGCTGTGTTCTTCCAGCTTCACACTGTGTTATTTCTAAAGGGTAGGTCTGTTCTTATGATCAAGTCATGCTGCCAAAAGAGGAAGAAATGCATTTGGCAACACTCCAGTAAAATGAATATATCCTGTAAGTTCTCTTTCTTAAGGTATTAAGTTGGGCTGGTTCCCAACCCCTACACTTATTTATGTTTCTCATCTATCACACTTGAATTGTACATATTGGCATCTGTATTATCACAATGATGAGTATATCACCTTTTGAGTCAATTCGGGAATCATCACCAATCTCTTTCTAATGCACCACACCATTGCTCGATTACAGATTCTCTCTCCATGAGAATATGCTTCATTGAGGGAAACCACTGCTCACCTGCCTAATATTTTAAAATTAGAAGTAGAACACAATACTAAGGCACAGGCAGAACTGATTCAGCAGAATGTTAGCAGCTGAAAATCCTGGAAAGAGATAGACTGCAGTTAATGATTGTTTGAATTGATTTTGGATAACTTGTCCGATGATATGATGCGAGAGGACGGAATATCTGCAGCCCTACTGTGTATCGGTGTAATGCTAGACACAGCAGAAATATTTCCATTATTTAGTGTTTCTTCCACAAGAATGCAGCTACCAATTGGGTTAGAAATAACAATCAGGCATCAGCAAACCAGGAAAATCCAGTGTATCTAAACCTTGTATAGCTACATCAAATCAGGACATCAAAATGTTTGAGACCTTCTAAGCAAAAGGTCAGGAGCGCACAGCAATAAGTCATTCCAGGTCATCAGCCGAAGCAAATCCCAACCAGCAAATCCCGTTTCACAATTGTCCGTACAATATTTGTGTATCTGGGATAAGAGTCGCTTCATTGGACTGGTGCAATCAAATGCCCATTTTATTTCCAGTTTGCAGTCAGAATGATCAGTCTCTTAGTGTTTGCGGTTATCACTTCTCTGAAACTGATAGCAGCTGGCGACAAGGTGGCTCAGTGAACAATGCTGCTTCCTCACAGTGCCAGGGACCTGTGTTTGATTCCAGCCTTGGGTTACTACTTGTGCAAAGTTTGCATGTTCTCTCCGTGTTTTTGTGGGTTTCAGCTGGGTGCTCCAGTTCCCACAGTCCGTAGGTGGATTGGCCATGCTAAATTGCCCCGTAGTGTCCAGGGTTGTGAAGGCTAGGTGGATTAGCCATGGGAAATGCGTAGTTATGGGGATAGGGTGGGGGTGAGTCTGGGTGGGCTGCTCTTCGGAAGGTCAGTGATAGACCAAATGGCCTCTTCCTGCACTGTAGGGATTCTACGATTCTCTCACCTCTGCAACCCACATGTACACTGCTAAGTAAGGAAATCCAGAAGTTGCTACCAGGGATTTTCTATTGGACTAGGGTTGAAGTCCCACCTACAACTCCACAAGCTTGCAATTGAGTAGAAATCATGGCACTGATGAAATTTTGTCCTTTTAATCATAGCCTATTAGCATTGCAGAAGGTTGGTTAGCTTAGTTAACTGGCTTGCAATACAGAGTGATGCCATTGGCATGTGTTCAATACCCATACCAGCTGAGGTTACCATAAAGGTCCATCCGCACCTGAGGCAGGTGACTGCCAGGTTAAATTCGCTACCAATCATCTTTAATGAGAGAATGGCATCTTTATCTATTATTCATTAACAAGCCCTTGTAACGTGTTATTCCTCGTTGAAAGGGTTGTTTCTGTGTTTTAAACAGTGTATAATATTCTAATTACCCATGTAACACCTCTCTGGCACTGGATAAAACTAGATTCATGTTTATGAAATGTCAAATTTCTCCATTATAATAAAAAAGTTTCTAATGCATATTTTTCAATGAGCTCTGTTTAGAGTATTTCAGCTTCTTTCTTCATTACATTTTTATGTCCTAATTATTTGTTTTGCTGTCTGTCAAATTAAAGTAAAACTGAAGGACAATTTGTGAAATATGCCTCCTGAAATGCTGTCTGTGGGAATTATTCAATGTGATTGGCTGCTTATCTCACTTAATGATATCACCTCTGTTGGTTGCTTAGAGATCATAGTGTTCTGCCAAATTTAAGCTGATGTTAGAAAATAGGAATCCTTGTTGACAGCCTTTTGTTAAGGTCAGTGACAAGTGCTATAACTTGCTGACTACAAAACCTATGCAAGTATGTTGTATTTCCTCAGCCACCTGCTCATGAAGTAGTGCTCTCTACATTAAGAGGAGCTTTTCCAAGACTGAAGGTGAAAGTGTAAGATCTGACTTTTTGTCAGAATGGTACAGCTGACAGGTTATCTCTCTGAAACATTAACTCAGTTTCCTCACAGATCCTACCAGCCTTGTTGAGGTATTTCCAGCATTTTAATGTTTTTAATTCACACTTCCAACATGCACAGTAATTCTGTTTGTGAATGAAAGAAAAAGGTTGCAATGTCTTTGAAATCTGCAGAGCACAAAGTAATCTTCTACATATGAATCGTTGACATCTGTTTTGCAGGTGAGAACCAACATTCGAAGGAAGTTGGCAGCACTTTCGGAGTAAGGGACTGTGTCACGGTTCTCTACCACTGGCTCATTGTGCATGGTCTTCAGGATGAGATTATCAATCAGTCCCATCTTTGTGCTTTCAGTCACAAGCTGGCTAACAGGTAAGCTCGACTACACATGGCTCCAGAACAGGGGCTTCCCTTGTGCTCAGTTCATGACCAATGATGCTGAAAATGGGAATGTTTTTGAGCTCATGCATGAACTGGAACCCAAGAGCACGTCATGAGAAGGCCATTCTCTTCCTCAAGCCGATCCCACCATTCAGTGAGATAATTAGAACATAAGAATTAGGAGCAGGAGTAGACAATTCAGCCCCTCAATCATGCTCCGCCACTCAATATATTCTCACCTCAGCCCCAACTCAGCTTCCCTACCTGATCTCCATAACCTTTAACCCATTGTTAATTGGCAGAGGGGTGGGATCCTCAACAGCAGGGAGGCTTGAAGGAGACACAGTAATTAGAAAAAGCAAGTTGAAGAGACAAGTCAGGCTGGAACAGGACACGTAGTGAAGAATGCCTGTTGGAATAAATTGCGTTTATTTCAATGCAGGAGGGCTGACAAGTAAGGCCGATGAACTCAGAACGTGGATAGATACGTGAGGCTGGGATATTATAGCCATTACAGAAACATGGCTAAAGGAGGGACAGGACTGGCAGCTTAATGTGCCAGGGTACAGGTGCCTTAGGCAGGGCAGAGGTGGAGGAGAGAGGGGAGGGGGAGTTGCATTTTTGATTAAGGAGAGTATCACAGCAGTAGTCAGAGATGAAGTACCTGAGAGATCATCCAGTGAGGCTTTGTGGGTGGAGCTCAGAAATAAGAAGGGGATGGTGACCTTATTGGGGTTGTACTATAGGCCCCCAAATAGTCAACAGGAATTAGAGGAACAAATATGCAGGGAGATTGGGGAGACTTGCAGGAGCAACATGGTTGTCACAGTAGGGGATTTTAATTTTCCCAACATATACTGGGACTGCCATAGCGTTAAGGGGCTTAGATGGCGTGGAATTTGTTAAATGTGTTCAGGAAATTTTCCTCAAGCAGTATATAGAGGGTCTTACTTGGGAAGGGGCAAAATCCGACCTAGTCGTGGGAAATAGAACAGGACAGGTGACCGAGATTATAGCGGGGAAGCAATTTGGGAACAGTGACCATAGTTCTATTAATTTTAAAATAGTTATGGAAAAGGACAAAACTGGTCCACGGTTTCAAGTTCTACATTGGCTGAAGGTGAATTTTGAAGGAATTAGACAGGAGCTTGCATGGGTTGATTGGAGTAATTTGTTTGCAGGCAAAAGGACCTCTGAACTGGGAGGCCTTTAAAAGTATGATAGCTAGAGTTCAAGGTCTATATGTTCCTGTGAGGGTGAAGGGCAAAGTTGGCAGGAGTAGGGAACCCTGGATGACAAGAGATATTGAGGCTTTGACCAGAGAAAGGGATGCATGGCTCAGGAACAGGCAGCTGGGATCAAGGGAATCCCTGGAAGTATATAGAGGATACAGGAGTTTATTGAAGAAGGAAATCAGGAGGGTGAAAAGAGGGAACGAGATAGCTTTGGCTAAGAAGATTAGGGTGAATCCAAAAAGATTCTTTAAGTATATTAAAGGAAAAAGAATAACTAGAGAGAGAATAGGACCCTTCAAGGACCAAAGTGGACATATATGTGTGGAACCACAGGAGATGGGCGAGGTACTCAATGAATATTTCTCCTCTGTGTTTACCATGGAGAAAGACATGAAGACTTGAGAACTTGAAATTTAGTAGCAATATCTTGAGGATAATCCATATCACAGTAGAGGAGGTGTTGGAAGTATTAGTATGTATGAAGGTGGATAAATCTCCTGGTCCCGAGCAGATATATCCAAGAACTCTGCAAGAGGCTAGAAAAGAAATTGCGGGGGCCCTGGCTGATATATTTGCATCATTGTTAGCCACAGGTAAGGTCCCGGAAGACTGGAGGGTAGCAAATGCTGTGCCCGTATTCAAGAAGGGCTGCAGAGAAAAACCTGGGAATTATAGACCAGTAAGCTTAACCTCCAGGGTAGGTAAGTTACTTGAGAAGATTCTGAGGGATAAAATATACATGCATTTGGAAAGAAAAGGTTTGATTAGGAGTAGTCAGCGTGGCTTTCTGTGTGAGAGATTATGACTCACAGATTTGTTAGAGTTCTTTGATGAAGTGATCGGGAAGGTTGATGAGGGCAGGGTGATAGACAGATTTTATATGGTGTTCAGTAAGGCCTTTGATAAGGTTCCACATGGTAAGCTGCTCTGGAAGGTTAGAACGCATGGAATCCAGGGAGAGCTGGCAAATTGGATACACAATTGGCTTGTTGGTAGGAAGCAGAGAGTAATAGTGGAAGGATGCTTGTCGGACTGGAGGCCTGTGACTAGTGGTGTGCCTCAGGGGTCAGTGCTAGGCCCATTGCTGTTTGTTGTCTACATTAATGATTTGGATGAGAATGTACAAAGCACGATTAATAAGTTTGCAGATGACACTAAAATAGGTGGTGTCGTAGACAGTCAGGAAGGTTATCAGAAATTGCAGTAGGATCTTGACCAGCTGGGAAAATGGGCTGAGAAATGACAAATGGAGTTTAGTGTAGATAAGTGTGAGGTATTGCATTTTGGAAAGTCAAATCATGGTGAAAGGCAGGGCCTTAAGGAGGGTTTATGAACAGAGGGACCTTGGAATTCAGTTGCATGGTTCTCTGAAAGTGGAGTCACAGGTAGGCAGGACAGTGAAGAAGGCTTTTGGCATACTGGCCTTCATCAGTCAGGGCATTGAGTATAGAAGTTGGGAAGTTATGTCGCAGTTGTACAGGACGTTGGTGAGGCCGCACTTGGAATATTGTGTTCAGTTTTGGTCACCTTGCTGTAGAAAGGATGTTATTAAAGTGGAAAGAGTGCAGAAGAAATTTACAAGAATGTTGCCAGGACTCAAGGGACTGAGTTATAGGCAGAGGTTGGACAAGATAGGACTTTTTTTCCTTAGAGCATAGGAGACTGAGGGTAGATCTTATACAAGTGTAAAAGATCATGAGAGGCATTGATAGAGTGAATGCACTCAGTCTTTATCCCAGGGTTGGGGAATTGAGGACAAAAGAGCGTTAGTTCAAGGTAAGAAGGAAAAGAATACATGGGAACCTGAGGGGCAACTTTTTTTATACAGAAGGTGGATATTCCATACGCATATGGAATGAACTGCCAGCAGAAGTGGTTGAGGTGGGTACATTAGCAACATTTAAAAGGCATTTGGACGAATTCATGGATAGGAAAGGTTTAGAAGGATATGGGCCAAGTACAGGGAAATGGGGTTAGCATGGATGGACATGTTGGTCGGTATGGACCAGTTTGGGCTGAAGGGCCTGTATCCGTGCTGTAGGATTCTATGCCTTAATGATTCTATAACTCTATGACTCTATGGTGTAAGAACATCTGAAAGCACTTTGGAACCAAGGGAGCACTTTTGCAGTGTGGTCCCTGCTGTGATGCAAGAAGCACAACAAACAATGTATGCACAGCAAGATTCCACATATGTAATGTGATGATGATCACTGTCTGTTTCAATGATGTTGCTTGACAATGAATATTGTTCAGAACAGGGTGAACTCCCCTGCTCTTCTGTGAAATACTGCCATGGAATCTTTTATATGCTCTTGCAAGAGAAGTCAGGGCTTTGTTTTAAAACATTACCCAAAAGACAACAGATGGCAGAGTAGTCGCATCATCTTTCAGTAAAATCTCTGGGTTACCAGCCTGGACTTTGTGCCTAAGCTTCAGCGTAAACTCCCCTTCTCTTTCTGAGTAAGATCAAAGGGGCAAAAATTTACCTGCATTCATTCTAACCCAATTCCACACTTCCACAGTAGCAAACGTTCAACATTTTACTGCACATTTTTTTAAAAATTACATCATTTCTCATTCAGATGCCCTCATTACTTTTGCATTATTGGCTTCCTTTTATTTTCAAAAGAAAATACTCTACTTAATTTATGTTCAATTTAAAATTTGCAAAACCATTGACCACAAATTCCAGTTTGGAAGTGAATGACCCAGTATTATTCTTTACTTTTGTACAAAATGTCATGTCTTCTACTGCCCTCAAACTTCTTTATCCTCAATTGCAGTCTTTTTGAATCTTGCGTTCAGCAATTATCATGTAAATGCTCTTTCATTATTGTAGAATTTCCAATCACTACTTTGGTTTAATTGACTAAATTTTTTTATTCTTTTCAAGGTTAAAGTTCAAGGCTTTGCTGTCACTTTTTACACGGTATTACCAAAACACTTCTCTATTGCCTTTACTTAAATCGTTGATGGGATGTGGGCATTGCTGGTTAGGCCCGTGCATGCTGCCCATCCTTAATTGCTCTGGACGAGGTGATGGTGAGTTGCCTTCTGAAACCACTGCACTCCACACTGTGTCGGGACATCCACAATATTGTTAGTTAGGGAGTTGCAGGATTTTGACACAGTGACTCCAAAGGAACAGAAATATGTTTGCAACTCCAGATAGTGAGTGACTTGGATGGGAATTTGAAGGTGGTGATTGTAATGGTTATGACAAGGTCATGAATAGAATATGAGTCCCCTGATTGGGGCTGTTAATCTTGTCCAATCAGGGAGCCCTGACTGACATGTATAAACAGGAGTGTCAGACATCCTGTTCACTCTGAGAGCAGGCTCTGAAGGAGATGGATCAGTGTCAAGGACTTTCCACGTGTAAATAAAGGGTGACTTGGTGATGGGATACCAGTCTCTGTGGAGTTATTTCAGTGGTATTCCCATGTATCTGCTGCCCTTGATCTTATAAATGGTAATGGTCATGGGTTGGAAGGTGTTGTCTAAGCAAACTTGGACAACACCATTCGGATCATAACAGCTTGTTGTGTACATTAAATTCTCCATATCTCACCTCTGACTCTTTTACGAAGAACTTTTTTTTGAAATGGCAGCGGTGGCTGAGAAAGGACATTCAGCCCATCAAAATTCATCCACCCAAAATGAGCAATGTAGAATCTCACTAATTCAAGGGTTTGCCTGAAGGAAGAAGGATAAAAAGACTTAAATTTCTTGAGCAATTTTAATGATTCCGGG